GGGGGGATCAGGGAAAATACTACTAAAGGGGGGTATAGGCACATTTTTCAACAGTTCCAGTTCCAAGAGTCCAAGAGGTGAATTTTTACCAAATCTGGTCAAAGGATCTTTTCATGGCTATTACCAGTTGTTATTTTTTAAGCGGATTTGAAATCCAGAAAAGCAGCTTGAGGCTGTTATCACTGAGACTTTTTTGAGTTCTCAGTTGACATAGGGCCAATGTTGACAAAACTTTTACGAATATTCATTCCATGTTGGTCACATTAAATATCTATGTGGGATCACTTCACTGCCATGCTATCGGCTACGATGGGACATTTTCAACAAGTTCTTCATTTTACCAGATCAATTCTAACCAAATGTTGCCCTTGCCTAGTGGTGTTGTTATATCTCTTGTTCAATAAGGAATCTTAGGACGCCACCTTGCCTAGTGGTGTTGTTGTATCTCTTGTTCAATAAGAAATCTTAGGGCGCCACCTTGCCTAGTGGTGTTGTTGTATCTCTTGTTCAATAAGAAATCTTAGGGCGCCACCTTGCCTAGTGGTGTTGTTGTATCTCTTGTTCAATAAGAAATCTTAGGGCGCCACCTTGCCTAGTGGTGTTGTTGTATCTCTTGTTCAATAAGAAATCTTAGGGCGCCACCTTGCCTAGTGGTGTTGTTGTATCTCTTGTTCAATAAGAAATCTTAGGGCGCCACCTTGCCTAGTGGTGTTGTTGTATCTCTTGTTCAATAAGAAATCTTAGGGCGCCACCTTGCCTAGTGGTGTTGTTGTATCTCTTGTTCAATAAGAAATCTTAGGGCGCCACCTTGCCTAGTGGTGTTGTTGTATCTCTTGTTCAATAAGAAATCTTAGGGCGCCACCTTGCCTAGTGGTGTTGTTGTATCTCTTGTTCAATAAGAAATCTTAGGGCGCCACCTTGCCTAGTGGTGTTGTTGTATCTCTTGTTCAATAAGAAATCTTAGGGCGCCACCTTGCCTAGTGGTGTTGTTGTATCTCTTGTTCAATAAGAAATCTTAGGGCGCCACCTTGCCTAGTGGTGTTGTTGTATCTCTTGTTCAATAAGAAATCTTAGGGCGCCACCTTGCCTAGTGGTGTTGTTGTATCTCTTGTTCAATAAGAAATCTTAGGGCGCCACCTTGCCTAGTGGTGTTGTTGTATCTCTTGTTCAATAAGAAATCTTAGGGCGCCACCTTGCCTAGTGGTGTTGTTGTATCTCTTGTTCAATAAGAAATCTTAGGGCGCCACCTTGCCTAGTGGTGTTGTTGTATCTCTTGTTCAATAAGAAATCTTAGGGCGCCACCTTGCCTAGTGGTGTTGTTGTATCTCTTGTTCAATAAGAAATCTTAGGGCGCCACCTTGCCTAGTGGTGTTGTTGTATCTCTTGTTCAATAAGAAATCTTAGGGCGCCACCTTGCCTAGTGGTGTTGTTGTATCTCTTGTTCAATAAGGAATCTTAGGGCGCCACCTTGCCTAGTGGTGTTGTTGTATCTCTTGTTCAATAAGGAATCTTAGGGCGCCACCACCGTGGTTTGTGTTAACAGAAACATTTCAGCTTCTTATCTATAGATCAGATTTAAAATGAAACAAACAGACAATACAGGTCAGTTGGGCCTCTTGTTGATTTGTGAGAGAGCATCAAGAGTATTTGTACATTAAATGATGACAAATTGTACGTGCTCTTTCAGATGGAAGCTGCCCAAGTATGCTGGATGCCATTGCTGCCAACGGCCAGCCTTTCAAACTGATTCCAATAGTGATGTTATTCCTGGGTCTCCTTCAGTAAGTGTTCACTGTTTACTGGTTCTCCTTCTACTTCTTCTTTTGGTTCTTCTAATAATTATATTAACTTATACATGTTAACCATTAAAAGTATCTTAATAAAACCTGCAGTATACCTGCATTACCCACAGATAATGTGCATTGCACTGTTATTAGGTCACTGATCTTGACCTCAAGGTCAATGGTCAAATTAATGCAAACTTTTCAGTTGTAAATTTAAATCTTTTAAAGTTCTAATTGCATTTATTTATAGATGCATTTATAATTTATTAGCAGGCAGTTCCTCTAATAAATATAATTAAGAAAAGTTTGGGAAAAAAAAAAATTGACTTTATTGCAAATTTCTAATTGCAAGTGAAGGGGAATATTGTCTCATAAGGGGAGACACATGTTTTTTGTACCAAAATAGTCAATGTTTATTGTGACAAAAGTAAAAACTTAAGAATTTGTTTTTGGAATTTGTTGTCATATGATAGTCAATTAATTGGTAAAGTTGCCAATTGAATCTTGATAATTTTTTAGTAGAATTAAATTAAACTAAGGCTATAATAATTATTATCATACAGTTGATTTCCTGTCAAAAAATGTGGAAAAATAAGCTGCAAGAAAACCAAAACTAGTCTTTGTATTTTCCTTTGAACAGGATTTTTTAACATACTGGAAAATGAACATCAGCTTAATACGGTATAGTAGGTGTAAGTAAATATCAGGCATCATGATCGTAAGGATTATCTCCCCTGTATTTTAGACACCCAAGTGTACAACCAGCCAGCAAAGTGGCCAGCCTACCAGAGTTGGATATTCAGTTCCTCACTAACCAGGGGATAAATCTACGCTTCCTGCCTGTAATGCTCTTCTACCTCTCCCAGGGAGTTGTCAACTTCCAGTGCTACGTCCTCACGAAGGTGTTTACCGTCGTCAGTACGGTTGCAGCTCTTCTATCATCCAGGTAAAGAGTTCAAATTCAAGACCAACAAATCTGTTTTGCACCTAGTGTCTCCTGTTGTAGTGAGATTTATTTTATATGTTGAATGGGGAAACATTTATTATGTAATTACATTTTTGATTATATTATCGTGTTTAGTGTGCACTAAACCCAACAGCACACACAGGTTATACTCTGCTATGTTTTTTGTCGATAAAATAACAAACACTTAAATTGTCGAAAATGAGCATTTATTCTAAATGCAAGAAATCAAACATATGTATAAATCTTTGTGTTGATTTTTATAATAAGGTGTACAAAGAACCAAAAAAGATGGGGCTTGCTTCAAAATAAACGCCGCACCATTTGTAATTAAAAGATGTACAACAAATGAAACAAAATTTAAAACAAAGATATGCAACAATTACATTTTTACACAATAGTACATAAAGGTGGATACAAATTAGGGGAGGAGGAGGGGAGCTGATTTTTTAAGGAGATTTTTCAAAATGTCAGCATGGAAAAATATTCTGCACAGGTCACGTGACTTTAGTACACCAAAACATCACGTAACTACTTCTATAGGGATGGACTAGTTTAAAAAACAGAAAGTTATCCTCCATCCGGAACCAACAAAATGTAATAAATAAAAATATCCTATACTACCCAGATAATATAAATTACTTTATGCATTGCATAAATACAAATATTATTTTATTTCACTCTGATAATTATACCCCTCAGTTAGGTAAGAAACAGTAAATCCACCCGTCTTTCTGTGTTAAGTAAAAACATTGTCTACAAGATATCTTATGAAGCCTTCAGCAGATTAAGTTCATATTTAGCATATGGTAAAATAAAGTTCTGCACGTACCGGTAATTAGATTTTGGTGGGCATCGGTCAAGGTTAATTCCTGTTCATGAAAAATATTCTTTACCTAGAGACACAGATATGAATTAATTAAATCAAGAATTGAGAGTCAGCATGTTAATAACAAAGATGTAATATTTATCAAACAGAAATTGTTTGAATGCAGTCCACATTAATTTGACATTTATGATTGTATCCATCTGATTTTTCAGGTTTTTAGGAAATATTGAGACTTTATGGAGAAAATTTGAGATTTTCTTAGTGGGCTTTGCTGTAGTATCAACAGTCCTCATCTGTAGTTCTCTCGGAATTCTTATAATATATTTTGTAGTTTTAATAAAGGTAAGTACATACCAGGTATATTGGAAGATATGTTTAAACATTTATCAGACAGATTATAATTTATTTTATACGGGGTAAATTTTGTGGCAATGTTATTTTTGTAGTACTTTAACATAAAGTTGCATTGCATGAATGTAGGTTCTTGAACAGAATATTTTGATATTAATGATATAAGAAACAGTTTTCAATGTTCAGAAAATTTCAGCCAATTTTGCAAATTTCTTTTAGATAAGCAGTGTTACTTATGGTACAGTATTTCAATTTCCTTTTTATTCGGTACAGGTGATCACATTGAAGAACCTGTCACGAGACTCGGCCGGGGAGCTGAGTCGTTTCCACTTCTACTTCTCTGTGTATCTACTGTGGCTGTGGATGCTTGTCATCAGTGTACCAGCTTTCATCACCTGGGTCAATAATGTCAAGTAAGTGGTCATTAGTTTGCCCCATCTCTTTAGATGGACCAAACCTCACAAGTGATCAGTGTGCCTGCTCTCATTATCTAGGACAGAAATCTTAGGCAATAGTTCAACCACTCTTATCACCTGTAACAAAAGTCACATGGAAGTGATCATCCGTGTCCACTCTTATTACATTGACCAAAACACCCAAGTGGTCATCAATGTTCCAGCTTGTGTTACCTTGGTCAAATATATTGTTTTTGGTCAAATATCTTATATTAGTATGTATGTCCAAATAATTGTCATCCTCACCAGACTTCATACATTGGTACATCCTTTGTTTATTTTTGCGACTGTAATAGTTTCTGTTTGTTTGTACTTCAGGTATTCCATTGTACTCTACGGCGATCCTAACCTTGTACCAGCTACAGTAGGGGTCATAGCAGTAGGAACAATGCTCCTCCTGGACAACCCCCTCCCTCAAAGGTAAGGACAGAAACATACAGATAACATAGCCTGTTCTCAAAGTCACACTTGTATCAGAACAGCAGCTACAGGTGTACAGAACCAATTACAAAATGAAGAATTAAGTTGGAAAATCAAAAATTTGAAATGAATAAGTCCCTTGTGACCCTAAGATACTTGGGCATGCCCTTATTTGGTATTCTATACAAGGGAGAATGAAATCCAATGACGCTAGTTCATTTAGTTTAGCTTCCCCCAGTTGATGGATTCCTTAATGGAATTCACTAGTCTGTAAATAAGAGTAATCACTAGTCTGTACATAAGAGTAATCACTAGTCTGTACATAAGAATAATCACTAGTCTGTACGTAAGAGTAATCACTAGTCTGTACATAAGAGTAATCACTAGTCTGTACATAAGATTAATCACTAGTCTATACATAAGAGTAATCACTAGTCTGTACATAAGAGTAATCAATTCAAAAGACAAGATGATGAGACAACATTTATTTGATGTTGACTGGTCATTTCTTCTTTTGAATTTATTTGGTATTTCATTAAGTATATATTTAATGTACTGTCAATGGTAGTTTTGTGTTTTATTATCATGATTGTTTAATTTACAGGTATATTTTTGTTTCAGAATAAAGTATCTGTATAGTACTTCTATGTTTATGATACAATGACTGTTTTTGTGTTTCAGAATAAACTACTGTGCTTGGTACTTTGATGTTTATGATACAATGACTGTTTTTGTGTTTCAGAATAAACTACCGTGCTTGGTACTTTGGTATCTACGGTGGAGCTGTGACAATGCTGCTGTACGGGACTCTGTCATTGTTCCGTGTACCCTACATCATCGTGTTTACTCTGTCACTTATCGCCACCTGTCAGGCCGTGTGTAGGGTCAGCCCAACCAAACAAACCACTCCAAACAACATCAACCAATGAACAGTCTTGTTATAAATCTAATATGGTCGCAAAATGTAGACCATTGAAAGCCTTGTTTTATATATGTTGGACTTATTTTATAACTACAACAAGATTAAGTTTAGAACATGCAGACAGTAACTCATTTTAAGTTAAATGCTATAAGACACTTTCATGCTCAGGTTTACAGAATAGGGAAATTCCAACCAAGGGTTTTCAAATAAGTGGAAACCCCAGGCTTGCCAAGGGGTTCCCACCAATATCAAATTCCTTTGATTGTAATTTAACTATCCTTCAACCCTGGGCATCAAAAGTATTTTTTTCATTCCAATGATCAGAAACCGAGAAACCACAAAAGTGCTTCAGAGTTTCTGCATCAGGGTATCTGAAGGTTCACAATTTTGTGACAACATAGTGTCCCATTGTGACAGATTCCACCTAAAATGAGGTGTAAGATTAATAGAATCATTCACCCCCTTTGGGGTGAGATAGGGGAATCTCAACCCGAGGGGGAAGATTCTTATGTTGCCAAACACGAGGCTTTGCCGAGTGTTTGGTAACTTAAGAATCTTTCCCCGAGGGTTGAGATTCCCCTATTCTACCCACACGGGGGTGAATGATTCTTTTTCTCTTACATGTACCCTGTTTTCCCCAATGTGTATCATATACACAATGTAATGATAACGTTACATGCTAAATTCAGGGTTGACGTGACGTTGATGGATTGTTGACGTGACGTCATACAATTATTATACACAGGGGAATCCCCCCGTCTCAACCCTAGGGCGGAGACAGATAAATCTAGCACCGGCAAAACGGGAGATAAATCTGTCAGGTGTGGGAGAAAGATATTTCTTGCACCCTTCTCTTACCCTGGACAATACTAGTCCTGTTATACACAGCAATGAGAGAAAATGACAGCAGTCCCATATTGGATTTTTATGTAATTAAGTTACAAAGAAGTTTTTACCAAATGAGGAGTCTGACTTACATATTCATGTGTTATTATTTATATAAATGACTAATTAATAATTGTGCTTTAATCTATCTAATTCCTGCCTGTATAATTAATGTGTTGCCATAGTTACTGATGTACTATTGGTGTAGTACCCAATGTTACTTGTGCTGTGATAGCTGAAGGACTTTGAGCCCTAGTGGCACTTTGTACATTTAATGTAGTAGGGCCTGTTTGTTTATGCGGACCAACCGGTTAATTTATTTTTTAAATGACATGTTATCAGGGGTAAAACCTAACAGACCTGCAAATGTCAATGGTTGCCTTGAAAGTCTTTGCCAAGGCTCGCCAGAAAACAACAGCAGATCACTAGTTCTGTCCCTGTTTCTTAAATGAACAAATATGGTCCAATTAGTCCAACCATTTGATAAGCAATGAACGAAAACTGCCATGTTTGTTGTGAATGTCTTAATACTGGATACTGGATAATGCTGTAATTTCATGGGGTCATACATCTGCAGGTTGAGATTTTCATAGTGTAGGACCAGGATTAGATTTGCCTGTTTTGCTTTCACACTAAAGTGTTTAACTACTACCCTGACTGTATTATGCTTACCACATGGGAATTTTAAAATTAACAAGTTGATAACCTTGTAAAAATGTAAGTGCTATTTAAGTTGTATGTATATAATGTAATATAGTGCTGAAGAACAAAAACATAACTGAAAATACAGCAGTATACTGGAGAACTTCGTCAAATATTTACCCTTCAGTGGTAACATCCATCTTCGCTCAGTGCTAAGTTTTCCTTTTACACATTATAATTGTATATGGTACGCTGTGTACAAACATTCCCTGGTGTGATTAATTCACCCTCATTACAAAGGCATATTTTGAATTGGTGCAAAAATTGCCAAAAAGAATATTCCTGTATCTCTTGTTAAATGGGCTTGAAATAGATATTGGCAATATATTTGGATTGTGATAAACTTGGACGCAAAAAAAAAAAGGTTCCTACAAATGATAAGTGACTTTATTCCTTCTGTTGTATCCTTGTATTTCCAAATGTGTTTCTGTCAAAATTGCAAATTACTGGTGTTTGTTTATGATTTATTAATCCTACTGCATGCTTTATTGAAGTCAGCTTTATCAAAATGAGGAAACAAATTTACAACTGTAAATTATTCGTGGTTATCCAATAGTTAAGATAACTCTAATGATCACTGCTAGAAAGTATTTTATCCAAGTTAACCACACACACATGTACACACACAATTGTAAAACTATTATTTTTATGAGAAAATCATAAAAGATTTTATGTATAACAGAATTTGTTTAAATCCCATCTGGTCTGAGATGTTATATGCTTGTTATAAACATACAACCATATACGTTTCTTGGAATGTGTAGTAATGTATAAACAAGATGTAAAGTAATGTAAATACAGGATGTATGATTATGTACAAGCAGTATGTACAAAAGTATGAGGGGTGTTGATCGTGCAAATAAGTGGATTAACCCTTTTACCACTTTAGACCAAAATGGACTCACCAAGATAAATGTATGGTTGAGTCTACTAAAGTTACCTAGGGGTGAAAGGGTTAAGGTGATAACGGAAAGTATGTTATTGAATGAATGGTCCAGATACTAATAAAAGGAAGAACAGACGTACCTGGGTAGTGTATATACACTAATGTATGTGTTAAAGGGAATCCTCCAAACCTTACATCTAAATAAGCATGTTTTGTGATGATGGAAAATGTGTGCACCACTTTGTTCAGTAGCTATTATTTAGACTCCTCTTGTTAGACATCTGGCTTAGTAATAATAAGTTCTGTGCTTGCCTAAATAGGTAAGTACATGTATCTGGTAGGGAAAACAAGTTCTTTTACACATGGCACATTTCCATTGGTTTTAATCAATCTTTATGACTCAGTTACCATGTTTTGGTTTGTTGTATGATTTGATATTAATAATATACACGGTAAGATATAGAGGATATTTAATGGTGTCTTCAGTAATAACAAATATATTTCACGGGTGTGGCTAATATTTTGATATTTTTCACGAAAAATATCAAAATATTAGCAACACGAGTGAAATATATTTGTTATTACTGAAGACACCATTGAATTTTCTATTTATTACATTTTTAAAGCATAAAACATAAAAAATCTAATGCATTAAAAAAGGGCGGGAATCAGAAGCGTAATTATTAGCGCCATATTCTAATGACGTCACGCTTGACAACAAGGCTGCGCGCCATTTTGAGTGGCATTCTCAACGCAATTTCGACGTTTTCTGCTATTTTCTGGTATGATTGCTTATAAAAATGTCATTACTGGTATATATATGTTAATACTTAAGTCTGTATACCAAACATTTACCATAACAACCACTTATTTTACCGTCACTTCATGTGAATCTGTGACAAAATATCGTTGCCTTTGAATGCAGCGAATAGAAGATACCGTTATGATTGGTCAATACTGAAAAGTGATACTTTCACACTGTGAAAATATCACTTTTGATATATGTACCAGTGTGAAAGATATTAATTTTATCAAGTTGATAGAATCCGATATTTCACTGGCAAAAATGTAATAAATAAACATGTTCAACATTTGGTTAAAGCAGAGATACTGAACAACATAATGGACAGCTGATTTCTGTTATTGAAATAAAAAAATAAAAATTTGAGTAAAATACATATTAAGGACTCGCACAACTAAATCACCCAATCAGCAAGTGTTTCATACGATTGTAATCCGCACCCAAAATTTGTTCCTGATTGGGACAGTGCCTCTGAGTAATTTAAATAGGTAATTGTTAATATATTTTACACTGAATGAAATCTACAGATATTGAACTTTAGAAAAATGCATAGTTTTAGTAGATTTTAAAACGTGATGGTGGATTTATATGGGGTCAAATGTCGGGGGGTGCTCCCGTCCCACTTCACTGGTTTGGCTTGTAAACTTCCGGTTGTCTGAATCGCTCTTATATGCCACCAAACTCGCCAAAAAATGCCTTTTGAATCCTTAGTATCTATGAATCTAGACAATTGTCACTAGTGTTGAACTTCAAATATTAACGCTATTAGCTTAAAAACTTAGTAGTAACATACAAATGTATAGTAAATGATTTAGTTGCGTGTAAACTGGCGTTTACTTTTTAACCAGGTTGGTAAGATTTAGGCATACAACTATTATTTCATTTTAGGCCTTCCCTTACTTTGTTCAGTAGATATTTTTTACATTATTATAATATGTGTTAGAGTACTTATAAAGCATTCAGAAGCAAAATCATGGGCATGTTATATTTTACAGAAAGTTGCATTTATTTCATTTCTTACATGAAATACTTGGGTATCTTTTGTTAATACTTTGACACTTGTTGCTATAACTTGTAGTATATATAGAACGGGTATTGAGTTGTTGAAAGGTATGGATTATACACAGAGTTGTAAAGAGGTACTATACATTTACCGTACTATAGATTTCCAAACTGTAATTGTTCATTACATTGGTGCTTTATTACATTGATGTGTTGTTTTGTTGAATATCCAGACGGAGTGTGTGTCATGCTATACAATCAGAGTGCAATTCATGTTCTAAATGACCTTGAATTGTATGCCATACAGAATCAATATGCAGAGCTTATTCATAGATCATTTTACAAAAATATGCAGATGTAAGAATGCTTGTTCAATTTTATATAAAACAATAAAAAGATAACAATTTATAGTTTAACTTGTCCTTATTCAGACAAAGGTATAAAGACCGTATGGGGATTATCCGAATGGTTGGTTCTGACTGTGCTGGTGCAAATGAAACCTTCATTTTAAGTGGACTTGATCCTGAGAGTCCTACAAACTGATGCCTTGGTGCATCCTCCATCCCACTGCAGCCTCCTACTTAAATCAGATGGTGGGCTTTTGAAATAGCCCTGTATCTGTCATCTGTCCTTCAACATTTCTTGCTATTTATCAATAAAAACTGGAGAGATCTTTCTCAAATGTCGTACAATAGTTTCCCTTGATTCATAGTTATGCATGCTTCATTTTCAGACTGATCAAAGACAAGATGGCAGTCATTTTTTATTTTGACAGTTCAAGTTTGTAATAGCTATTTCTCGTGAAGTACGTGATATATCTTTCTCAAGTTTTAAATTTAGGTTCCACATGGTCTGTAGTTGTGCATGTTTCTTCTTCAGAAATACATTGTAGAAGTTGTAGAACTGATGAAGGACAAACAAAGGACAAATGGACCAGAGACAAAAGGTGTTTTGAACAGCCCACCATCTGATAACGGATGGCTAAAATGTAGCTTTTCATGACCATTTGTTTCAGTGGACATTCCTACAGCTGTTTTACGGGCATAAAAACATAGCCCAATAATATCAGTATCTACTGTCCAATTTCCTAATGCTAGATATCATATGAGACAGTGAAATGGAAGGAGTTAATGTTTAAAATTGATATCATTTAGGAAATTTTGCAAATACAATCTCACTTTCAATAATGTAATTATATATTAACTTATTGAACATTGGTTTTTTCATTCATCAACTATAACAAATGAGAGCCATAACTCACTATAAAATAGTCCATGTATGACATACTTTTACTGTGCCATGTCTTGAAAAAAATCCAACTAACAGTTAAGGAGCAGTTGCACTTATGGTGTTTGTTGACAGACAGATGGAAAGGGTGATTCCCTTTGGGGAGGGGTATAAAAACAAATATTGAACAAATTGTCTCTAGAGAAAAAGAAAATTTTATTAAAATAAATAAATAAAACAAGTGTATAAATATTTGTATATGTACATTATCCTAGGAATGTGCTGATGAAAACACTTGTGTCGATGTTCAACGTCCCGTGCCACCATCTGTCGGGAAAGTAGATCATCTACAAAACAAGCAGTTCAAAATCACAGCATAGTCTCGCTCATGATACATATCATCTAAGTATAGTACAGCCTCACCCACAGTGTAAATTTACACAGTAACATGGTTAAAGACTCAACATTCATTGTTAAAGAAGTAGAATCAATTGGAAGAGTGAAAATTACATGCCATGTTACATAATATGTCATCAAAGATGTCATCCGATAAAGATTATGATAAGGTAACAAGGTGTACTTACCTCCCCTGGACCTATAGTACATTCCAGAGGATGATCTTCAGAGCCGAGTTTAGGTAGGTCCTCTATAAGCCACTGTAGTGTTGTCCGATTGGGGTGAAAGTTTGGCTTCTTATCTGGGGGTGTCAAGAACCAACGCTGAAACAAAGAAAACCTAAGCTGTAGGTATATGGTTTACTAGTAATGAACATATAAAACAGAATTACATAGAGGTTTTAGTGGTGACACTATACTATATATATGTTAGGTGGGGTTGTGTATTGGCCAATTAAACACAGGTTAAGTAGGATAGTTTTACAAAGTTTATTGGCTTAAGTGGAGAAACAATCACAGAAATATCTTACTCTGGTTTACTAAACATAGCAGACCTTTTTTTTTCTTTTGTGAATTTGAATGTACTTATATTTGTAATTCTGCTACCGACCTCTACCCAGTTCAACAATACATGTATGTACAGAACTGTGAGGCTTACCTTCCTGCCATAGATGACTTCACCAAACCCTGGACCATGGAAGTGGAATGGTACCCCAGTGCCTGCACCTGTTACAATACACCAACATAAGCTATACCACAAATCTTTACCTGACATAGATAGTTTATTGAGCATATTAATGAACCAATTCGTTTGTGTACCACACAAGTGATTTCTACATTTACATAATGCCTGGAAGTAATAATAAACCAACAATTACCATAATTGTTTAAAATATGCATACAATAATTGTGTTGTGGTATAACTTCACAAATGATATCTTGATTAATGTTCAATTTGCTTCCAAAAAAATTACATATTTGAAAATTATCTTTAATTGTTTCAATCAATCAATTTCACAAGATGATAACTGATATGAGTTCAAGCCACCAAAGTGTTGACTACTAAGGCAATACAACATATTGTCAATAGGAAATACAAAGCCTCATAGTACATTGTCTGAAAATTGGCTGTATCACTATCGTAATATTCATCTGATATATGTGATATATAGAGGAAATTTAACAGTTTTCTTTTTAGATTACCTGAAATATATATTTTCACGAGTATGGTAGAACATCGGAATTTTTCACACGTGGAAATATCGGTACATGCAGTGAGTCGAAAGTATCATCATATTCAATCATTACATTGTTTCTGTTACAAATTGTTCACTGACCTGCGAGCCCAAAGCTGTATACACCAGTCATGTCGGGTAGATAATATGGAGGTGCGGAGTACATGTCAAACAGTTCCTGCCACTCTGTGTAGTTGTTATCACCAAACCAGTAAAATGTCTCTGTAAGACAGTACACAATCAAAATCTTGATAATATAGTATATAGGGAAAATGCTATATGCTATCACGTTGGTCCAACTATTTTTTAAATGTTTCTCTTTCAGCAGTGTAATTTATATTCCTATCCTTAAATTATCAAATTACGAGTAACTTCAACCTTTGAACTTTGCTCCTATCTCTTCCCTTTGTCTTGAAAGACTTTTATAGCCTGTTAAGTATGATTTCATTCATAACATTTAAAACAACTTGATTCCTGGCACTTACTGTCCTTAACTGATCTATTTATAACAATTTCACTGCTAGTGACATTGACCTTAACCTTTGACCTTGTAACCAATTTCAAGATATTGTTTTTGATAAGGAAGCATTGTACAAAGTTTATTTCGATTTCCATTGGAAGTCAATTAAGTTATTGTATGAAAACCGATATATTTTGATGGTGAATGATTTGACCTTTCACATTAGGATGTTTGGCATAGAAGCCTTTTATGAAGTATTTTCAAATGAATACCCTGGTACTGATACATACCATTCCCCATCATCTGTAGTGTCTGAGGTTTCAAGACATTCTCTACATAATACTGTAAGGTAACATCAACTGAAAATGAAAGTTAAATACTACTATATAATTGAATGTAAAACAAACAGGTAAAGACATTTACAACCTCATAATGTCAGATGGACTATTGTTTACATGATCAGGTATGTTCTATATTTCAACCTCAGATTCAACTTTGCTTTAAATTCATTTTTACTATCTGCATTTTATATATATCTTTATTGGTTTAAATGCTAAAACAGTGTCACCCCTCATTTGAAGGAATTATTTATAAAGTTTCCTTAAGCTGCTGTCTATTTTATGTTTACATATTATAATGCAATGTTTTGTCAAGCTACATGAAATGTGGACCTTTACATCTTTTGTTCTTTGAGATTAATTTAAAAATCAATCAACTTACCTTTTTGATAAGAGTGGGTATTTGCTGAACTTAAGCGAATTTTCTTCGATCCATATTTTTCTAGCATATTCTTTTTTCGGCAAGATTTCAAAAAGTTCTGGTGGAAATGGAAAGAACAATGAAGTGTTTTGTTAAACAATTGTAGATAGTATTACATAGAAATGTCAAAGCCTCAAAGCAACACACTGCTACCAGGCTATTATGTATGCCTGTAATCTTAACATAACTTGGATATTTCATCTTTTGGATAGAGGTATATTTTAAGAGCATTATTTTTTCCAGATTATTTTCACAGACCGAATCCTATCTGACCAATACTTACATGATTTTCATTTCTTCCTCTTTTTATTATTAATGGTTTTGAATATGCATACCTGAAGTGAAGAAAAAAAATAAGAACAAAATTATACATGGTTATATATATTTATACTGTCATTAACCAGAGTATCTGTAAGGCTGATTATGGGATATACTTGCAGGCCACTGTGAACATTGCATTTTTGTCCATTATATAAGTTACAAACTATAGAATAAACACAAGCAACAAATAAGTGAACACAGATGTTGCATTAATATTATCATCAATTATTCATATTAACAAACAAAAAGTAATATGATTTTTCATTGAGCAGCTGCCAAACCTGTGGAGGAATTCTTTCTGTGTGAGGGTGTGGTCTCTGACATCTATTGTACATGGCCCAGGTGTGACTAGCACAGCCTCCTTATCTGTAGACCTGTCAAAGTAAATTCTACGTAATAATATACCTGTATGTGAATGATGATATGATTGTGTACAAACATGTTCTAGATCACTGCAGACTATAAATGTGTTAATTGCTGTTGGCATCAATCCTGTCTTTGTGAAATACTCACAATTTGTTCTTATGTATCTATTTTCCTTTCTGAGTGAGTTACAGCGACTCACATAATTATATATATAAATGAATGGTGCTAACCAACCAATTTTTAATGTTTATTTATTAAAATCATACGCAAAATTGGTTGTCAATAATATTTGAGAGCTAAGAAAAAAGATTGTGTGTTGTGAGACTGGGTCAGATGTCTAACATTGATGCTGACCATTGTAAGAATCCCTCATCATCTTCGAAAGATTTCATCAGTTAGGAAGTACATTTGTATGTATGCATCAAAGATTTGTATCAAGGATTGGTCATGGCACCACTGTAATAGGAGAGGAAAAATACACGGCCAGACCAGGATTCAAACCTCAGCGGGGCCTCCAACTTCGACGGACGCTCAAACCAAATGCTACATCTACCTGGTAGCACAGGTGCTTGGCACACTAATTGTATGATGTGTATATATAGTTATACTAATTGTATACACCCATATATTTCTATTAGTGTGTCCAGCACGTGTGGATAATTGACCCAGTCCATTTATCTTACAATATGATAGCTGAACGTTGACATATAACAATGCAAGAATATGATGAAATGTTATGTCTCATGCGCAATATTTGTATATTAATTATACACGTGTCACATGTACAGTACATCAGTATGTAAGGATATAGCTACTGATATGATAAAGCAACAAATCGAATCATTTATGTGGTCTCAAACGGTAAAATGTCAACAACAACAAATATGTGATGTTTGCATCAATAGCACAGTATGTATAACGTACCATCCACCATGGTCTATCTCCAAGAAATAAATAAAAAGGGCGAACAGAAAGTAGAATGCACACATGGCGAGACGACAACAAACATACTGCTGATGTTGATCAAACCGGATATAGCTTCCAAAATGTGTTCATAACTCATGTCGCTTTTATTATCCGACTGTGATTGCATTAATGTTTTGCTTGTTGAACAAAATATATTTTTCTCTTATATGATTCATGTTACAGAGAACAAAGGGTGAGTAAATTATGAATATTCAAGCGTCTTTAGTATGGAGATGTCACTTCCGGTTTGAGAAATGAAAGCAGACGTGCGTGATTGCACAGACATAACGTAAGCAACACGAGTATTCGATTTTGGTTGACAATCAAACGTTTACATTTTTCTAACCTGATTTGCAAACAGAAAAGCTACGGTTAAAGTATAGATTGACGATCATCACCGTGACCAGTCAAATTATATGTCAGTGACTGTAATGTAAGAATATTTTAGGCAGCGGTAATGGCATACCGTCGCACTTGCTATGCCGTGTTCTGAGGGAAATAAGAACAAAGAAAAACTTTTATTTCTTTTGTAACAGGAAAGAGAATAGTGTGCTTCCACCGGGGATCGAACCCTCGATCTCCAGGTTCCTAGTCGGACGCTCTACCACTGAGCTAAAGGGAAATTCCCTCTAGCTCGAAGCTAGAAGGCGACCTTAATCCTATGTACAATTGAACCCTGCCACACTACTCCCCCCTTTTTAAATGTGTTCGCCCTCGAACACCACAACCCAGGTTCTAACTCCCTGTCACCACAGGGAGGGCCACGGACACCATTTGTAACAGGAAAGAGAATAGTGTGCTTCCACCGGGGATCGAACCCTCGATCTCCAGGTTCCTAGTCGGACGCTCTACCACTGAGCTAAAGGGAAATTTCCCCTAGCTCGAAGCTAGAAGGCGACCTTAATCCTATGTACAATTGAACCCTGCCACACTTTTTTAACTTCTATAAAGCTGTACAGAGTTCTATCTAGAAAAGAGTGGGTTGAGAGATATGACACTGGGTAGTCCGAATTATTCTGACGTTTCATCGACTTTTTTCATATCGGTCTGTCGTTGGTTAACGTCAGAACTCCGGCCCTCTATAATATGTGGGAAATATGCGACCCGCGCCCGGAGCGCACTTCAAACTGATATTTTAGAAACAACTCGTCACTTTCACACACATGTCGCACATGGATCGAAATATCTATTCTTTACGTAATATTGTAATATATATGTCTGTTTACTATTGCTTTTACTACTTAAATGGTGAATATGTATATGAATAATATTAGATGAGAACAAATAAAATGCTTTTAAACATAATCCAAAACAATAATAAAACGAAGAAGTACATTAATGCATGGCAAACATAAACATTTGTATCCAACCCTATGTGATTTCTGAATCTCATTAAACCTTTCCATGCATATGTAGTGGAACTGGGCTGGGGTAATTAGACAGATCAGATGAATCATTTAGAATTACAGGGTCCTAGGTTCAAATTCTGGTCTTGCCATTACAATTTTCCTTTCTTGTTACACATACTGTCACAAATGGGAGATAAGATAACATAGATAAATTTTATTTAAAGTCGTGTACATTTTAAAACAAATACCAAGCTTTATAGAGCTTTTGACCGATAAACATGTTACATACAAATACATTCCCACTTAGACAACTTTTAGGCAATACAAATATTAAATGAGATAAAACACTTCAGATTTCGAGCTGATATCAGTATAGACACATTTTACACATTGTAGTTAGAACAATATCATATGTTCATATGGGACAAACATGGTAAGCCATTTGATTAGTTTCAGACTTAAAAAAAACAAATCAATCTCCATTCTCTTGGCTGATACCTGTCTTTCAAAGATCATAGGGATTGTACAGTAGCTTACACCAAAATACAAGCAAACCAATCTTACCTTATGCAGCCATGTAATTCCTTTTGAGGACAAAGGTATGCTGCAGTTTCCAGTCTAGTCAGTATTGGCAAGGTGGTGCGTAAAGAGCCAAGGGTCGTACATTATTTAAGTTTTCTAAATCTTATCACCTGAAAAGTTGCAGTCACTTTGTGCGACATGATAAGCACATTCAACGTTCAAAATTTAAAATGTAGTTTAAATTTCATTCAGTTTTGAGGAGGAAATAACATAAAACTTCACAATAAAAAATCTTTAATTTGTGTGATATATATAGAGGTTACACAACGAGTGGTTGTTGAATATGGTATTTATTTCACTCGAGTTAGTTAATTTTCAAAAGTTACAAAAGGCACAAGCTTTAGCGAGTGTATTTCTGTAACTTTTGAAAATGAACTAACGAGAGTGAAATAAATACCATACTCAATAACCACGAGTCGTGTGATCTGTTTCTACCACAATCTCATGATCAGTCGGAAATAACATACACACATGTGTTTGTTGACAAGGCTGGTGTAGTGATATGACCCATATGTAAAAAGTCACTCATTAATATTCAAAAGTTACTTCTTTTTTTTACAAATTTAATTATTGTCAAAATTAATTTTTCGTCAACAACTTCGTGAAAAAATAAAATAGATGAACGACTATTGAGATTAGCAGTATTGCATTAATTTCTATAAATTAACCACAGACTATATGTGCGTAAGCATATCGTACGAAGTCTGCCTCCCGCCAAGTGATAAACCGTCTATAGCAACTTTGCCAGAAACTAGCGATCAAATCTTTAAGTATCATCTTTTAATATTGCCTTAATAACCCCCCTTTCCGCATAACCTCACAAAGTCACCAACATTTGTCGGATGTTGACAGCGGAAGACGTAAACAAAACAGCAGGTGGCAAAAAGCATGTGGAAAAAGTTTTCCCGGTCAAAGTTCATCTTCTCGACCAATCAAAACTCTTGAAGGTCATATTTATCTAACAGTCTGCGTGTTTATACAATGATCTGAGAGTGGAATACCACAGCGTATTGTGGTAGAAATTTGATTCACTGTGATAACATGTTTCATATTGCATGTGAGCATGATTTATCTAATTACGTATCCTGATATATAAGGAGGATGACTCTGTAAGATATGTGTGAACAATTATTGTTGTGTTTTCTTTTTAGATTACCTGAAAAAACAATTACAGGTGAAACAGAATGTTTGTGTTGGTTGAGATGAAGGATACGGTGAGGATCCCTCCCTGGCTGTTCCACATCAATTTCAATGATGCAGTGGTAGAAACTCTCAACAAAAAGTTTGCAAACAAGGTTTGTTGACACGACCGATAAATCGGGCAGCGTTGTATTTAACCTTGTGTAGGTCTGATTTAGGTCTGTTGGTCCAATGTTGAATTGTTAATGTTGTCACCATCCCCATAACTGAAATAAAGCAGGATGCTACTTACAGACCCCAAATTATTCACTTAAACAAATCATCAACAACTTGGGACCAACTTAAGATATAAACAGCACTAACACCAAATAACACTGCTTAGGACTGGCAATCCAAGAGTGAAAAGTTAACATTGTGTTGAAAAATCCTGATCAGAACTGTAAATATGATATAGGGACTTTGTAAAATTAGATCATGTAATTTAGACATTATAACCTGTGATCCTGTATGAAGCTAATGAATAACGTATATTAAAATAGATTGCTTGGCTGCATTGTTTTCAATGGCTGTCTCACAGTTTCAGTACAGTAGATACCCACATGTACTATGATTACTGCATCAGAATAGGAATTTCATCCAGAACCGCTTCCTCTCCCAAAATGTTGTGTTGCTTTGGGACCGGTATTAAGAAATTTCCAATTGTAGTGTTAGAAGACCTCAAAAGGAAGATTTTTCATAAGCATGCACCCCATCCTTATCAACCATTTTAAAAGAAGGGTGGAAATGGAGAGGGGGGATTTTGCAAAATCAAATTTTGGGAAATAATTCCTTATAAAATATAGAAAATGGATTAAAGTAATTTTCAATTACATTTTAGAGGGTTGGTATACCTTATTTTGGGTGCCCCCTGAATCTACATGCACATGTTGGTTTGAATTAATTGTTTTTATGTAGACACAGAATCATTTATAGGAATTTGATTAATCATTGATAGCTAGCTATAGGAATTTGATGATGTCATTACTTTAATTTTGGTCAAGATTTACTATCCTTGTTTTTATACCTGAAATTAGTCATCTTTCATGTAATATAACTTACATGTAACATAATGTAATTACCAGTGTATTGTATTGGAAGTTTGTGTTATCTACAGGTGGTCCACAATGTTGGGTTGTGTGTTGCCCTGTGGGATATCATTAAGCTGGAGGAGAGTTTTATCTTCCCTGGAGATGGAGCCTCACACACTGTTGGTAAGGTTCACTGTTTTACGTTCTTAAAAGAACATTCACTTTTCTGATAAAAAAATAGATTTTTGGTGAAAATCAATATAAAACAATATATCAATATAAAACATAAAATAACAAGCCCTATCTCATTTTACTTGAGCTCAATTATTCATCCATTTTACACATGGGTTTATAGTATAAAGACTGTAATACATGCTAAATGACTTACTAATTCAGTGTCTAAAAGCAAAACAACTAATAATAGTTACCTCCCTTGTAATAGTTTATTACTATTTTTTACAGTTCATTTCCACTTTGTCGTATTCCGACCTTTTGTTGATGAGATTCTTATTGGCAAAATAAAAAGTTGTTCCAAAGAAAGTGTTCAAGGTAAGTTTTCAAAACACAAATATAAGTTACAATACAATGAACTTTCATGAGCTTTTTATCCAATCTCTTGGATTTTAGATATCAATACATTTTCGTAATACAAAACAAATTATGTACTTGTTCTAAAAAGCTGCAACAGTGTCATTACATAAATATTACATTTGATAGATATTCATCCAGAAACATGCTAAGATCTCGCTCAATACTGTTATACGTGATTTTCCTGCTAAGCAAAATTGGAATATATATATATTACATATTAATGTTCGAGATGAAGCACGATAAAAGTAGGATTGTCATACATGGTTTTGAAAATCTATCCTTCAGTTTTAATGAAAGCTTCAATTCATCCCAATCAACAGCTGTTTTTCACTTTTATGACAGTTTGAAGTTGATAACCCATGATTTGTTTCTGAATGCGTTTTTTAACTTTCTACATAGTTAGCTCTTTTTTTCATTCGAAATGGGTACCTATGGTAGGGCTAGTTATCATAATTTTGATTTAAGATTCTTTGATATAGAAATAGAATCAATAAAAAAAAAAATGAGCAGCTGAAGAGTTAACAATTTGTTCACATTATGCTGGGTAAAGAAACAACGTTTGTTCACATTATGCTGGAGACAGAAACAACGTTTGTTCACATTATGCTGGGGACAGAAACAACGTTTGTTCACATTATGCTGGGGACAGAAACAACGTTTGTTCACATTATGCTGGGGAAAGAAACAACGTTCATTATATGTGTCTAAGAATGTTACCATTCATCATCTAGATTTTTAGAAGGATACTTAGTGGTATACAGAAGCCCTCTTATGATAAGCACAGGAAATAACACAAGGAGAGAAACAACTCCTGAATCCAGTTTTCCATAACTGTATTCATGCTAGTGCTGACTAGTCGGTCTACGATACTCTCCTTTAATTATTGAATTTGTTCACATTGTAAAACAAGTAAACAATGTAAAACATTCACCAATCAACAGACCAGTCTTGATATTTTGTAACACATTTATTTTTACATGTTTCTGTAGAAAGTTTTGGTACAAGCTATAGGGAGTTATATGATTTATAGCAGTGCCATACATTAGTGTAGCTTCTTATATACTGAAGCTATATGTCATGTTGTTGTTCATTGTAGTGACCATGGGATTCTTTGATGACATCTCCATTCCAGCAGACGCCCTACAACATCCATCAAGATTGTATCCTTATTTGTCACCTGTTATACTGCTGATCACTGTCTTCAGGGATAATAAGGGATCATACACATTGGATTGATATATTTCCCTTTCCGTAAGAACAAAGAATATCACTGGGGGAGTTGTGGTACACAAACATAGTTTATGTGACTGTCTTTCCTTCAATTAGATAAACAATCACAGCCATTTTGATTCCATTGCTTTAAAAAGGGTATGGCCCTTGATCAACATATAAGGGTGGTATTATTTTGCCTTTGGATAACAGTTCTATAACTTCTTCGTCTTATGTTTTGTGATGCCATCATTTATGATGATTATACATCAATGGGTGATATTAATTTGAAGTTGATTGGATGTTGTGAAAAATATTTCCATGGCTATATATATGGGCCTATAATTGGTGTCATTATTTAGCAAGAAGGTCTCATTTCAGATGAAAGTGTGTCGTAAGAATACTGGTCAAATGACGGTGAACCAAGTACCAAATGGTCAAATATACCCCCCATTATCTTTTCCTACAACTTGAAGGATAAATAAAGCCACTGCTCAAGTGAAATTATGTCATTTATCTACAGGTCAAATGCAAGTACAGGTAGAATGTACATCAAGATGCTACTGGTCAAGTAACGTACAAATGTATCATACACTTGTATTTCTACTCGTAAGTGAAAACCTGTCATGTTTCCTTGACCTTCGTCCAGTGTGGATAAGGAGCAGCTGTGGGCCTGGGAGTACCAAATGGAAGAGGAGAAACATGACCTGTACATGGACATCGGGGAGGAAGTCAGGTAAGTCCTACAGGTGTGTCAATGTCATACAGGTATGTACAGGTAAGGTCAGCTGACGATGGACATACAGTCTGTCAGACGAGATCCAGGAGCAAAGAAATTAAAACATCAGTATCGGAAAGTTCTTTTTCCTCACCATGGGACAGGGTCACATACAAAATGTGATTAGGAACCTGACCAAAACAGGAAAGTGCTGAAATGTAGAAAACACGGCAACCTCTACTGCAACCAATGTTCAGATCAAAACTTCAATGTCTACAGTGTACTCCCAGAAACACAGACACCATTGTGTTCTGTCCACCATGTAGAGTTACGATGGAGGAAAATCTCAACAAAGAACTCCAGATAGAGCAAACATTCGTGGAAATTTTGGGCAGATACAAAAAAAATATACCTGGAATGTTTGATTGTGAGTAAATGCACCAAGCTTCAAGTTTGAAACATAGTGCAGGACATAGTGTAGAAAAAGGCACTAGCAGAATGTCAAAGAGAAGGCACAAATAACTGGTAGCAATGTTAACATACTGTATACATCTAATGGATACTGATGGCATTGTGGAAAGAAAACAAAGGGAAAATAACATCTTTGTATTCAGAAACAAAGAATAAAATAATGAAGAAGGTTTTTGGGCAGAAAGCTGATGAAACAGAAATCAAAGGAGTGCTTGCAATATGCAATCTAACAGGGTTCAAAAAGTCATCAGATTAGGAAATATGACAGAAAAAATGAAAAGTCTAGACAGCTACTAGTGTCATCTGTATGGTCAGAGGACAGGAAGGCATTCCTTAAAAAATATAAAAATCTCAAAAAGGAGGATAAATACACCAAAATTAGGATAAATAAATAATTGTCAAACAAATATATGAACATTTAAGCATATTTCTTCTATTGTTTGCAAATTCAGACACACCAACAAATTACAAGAATTAAAAGCTAGGATTGATACTGAAAAAAGTTAGCTTGAATATCTGTGTTAATTAAGCGTTGCCTAGAAATAGTAGATTTGTTGCAACATCACCTTATTTGGTGATAGAAGGACATGACCTAGTTAAAATATAATGAAATTCAAGGAACAGCTTTCTATATTACCCAGCCATTCATATGTAAAAGTGACAGAAATATCTCTGTCAACGTTTTTTACAGAATGTATTTTTGTTAGTGTTCGATTGGCTGAAGGAATTTTTGATTGGATTTATACGAAGACGTCTGAGTAGCAATAAGGAAAATAAAGACAGATTAAACGCTCTATTGCTCAAAGTAAGGAAATGCAAATTTTAAATAAAAGCTTAATATGGAGAACTCTAACTAAAGAAATACCAACTAGACGAACTGCACAACAAAACACAAAAACAAGATTGTATTGAAATTCATGAATCCGTCGGGGACAAATACCATTTTCAACACGTGCAAATTTTGACAAGAAAAAGAACTAATCAAGAACCCAGCCCATTGGACCTTATAATCACAAACAAGGAAAATATGGTGATCAATCTTAATATCCAAAGGTCAAAAGTGATCATGGATATATCGCCTTCCAGTTTATATGTTACACATTATACATCACAGCAGCGAAACTTAACTACATCTGCAGAAACTATCTATTTTAATATTTACTAAAAAAAGTTTGCTCAGCTGTAGTTGCTGATAAAAATCTTATCATAAAATTAAGCTCCTAATCATTTTATCTATAAGATATTGTAAGGCCATTTCAAGGAATCTACTTGTCGGAAATCTTGTTGTTTTCAGTAGAAAAAATACCAACCGTGGTGTTCAGCCGAGAAGATCGAGACCTGTGAAATGTCTACTTCCTGCCGAAGGACATATTGACCAATTTATCGTATTCAGCCACTTTGTCAGGGAAATTGATTCTATATGATGGCAGTATTTACAGATGAATCCCTAGTCTAAGAATGAAGTCATATAAAACCTAACTAATTATCTTTGCACCAAGCACCTTACAATCTCAACTTAGCAATATTAAGTGTGTCCAATTTACCAATTTCATTGCCATCATGCTTTTCCTTTTTTTCTTTCTTTTTTGATTGATGCACTTAATGACCTTTGTAATTTTTTCCAAAGATGTAAAATTCTGATCAAAGGATTGTTGACATCACATCTTTGTTTCCATAAAATAGATACCTTTTTTTCTTTCAAATATTGACATACAACCATTTTGGACTATCAAAATTATCAGAGAAGACCGACAGTGTTAGAGGTCACGTAGGGTGTAATGGCAGTATTGAATAAAGAAGGTATGAGACTAGTGTTTAAGGGGGTTTGTGTAGATGGTAACCCAATAGCCTTTATAGACAGACAGATTCAAAAAAGACTTGTCCTTCAAGCATCAGTTTATAAAAAAGAAGTATTGAATACTTTCAGCTTACACTCTTTAAATATCAGAAATTTTGCTAGCAACAGTTGTATCTGAGGAAGGTATACTATTTATATGCCCAGCTGATCTACCTGTCAAGCATATAAACTTATTCAAGTAGACATGAAACCCAAACTCTGTTTCAATGAGGATAAAACTTGGTTTGTATTGACAGAAATTAAAAACTGCATAAATACCACATACTATATCATCATTCTCGGTCATAAAGACTGAAACTGTAGCTAATGTTGTAAGGTATCTAAGATGTGTTATGTATGATTGGGATAGAGACATCTCAAGGACATTGCTGATAGATGTGTATACTGTTGGGGAGGGCTGTAATGCTGGCCAAGGTCATAACAAACCTGGGACCTATCAGATTGTTTATTATGTTAGGTACGCAATGTACAAAACATGCCAACATCTTCTATGGATATTGATGGTTATAATTTAGTACTAATATATGCCATCAAATACACATACATACCTCTAGTTTCTATATACTCACAAGATATCGATCACTTTACCCCCACAGTATATCTAGTCAGTATACTACACAATGTAGTCATTACAACCCACTATATATCTTGTCAATACAACCCTACAGTGTATCTAGTCAATTCATGTATTTAGTCTGTATACTAACACAATATAACTAGTCATTACAACCCACTATATATCTAGTCATTACAACCCTACAGTGTATCGAGTCAATTCATCTAGTCAGTATACTAACACAATATAACTAGTCATTACAACCCACTATATATCTAGTCAGTATGCTAACACAATATAACTAGTCATTACAACCCACAATATAACTAGTCATTACAACCCACAATATAACTAGTCCATATACTAACACCATATAACTAGTCATTACAACCGCGAATATAATGAGTCATTACAACCCACTATATATCTAGTCAGTATACTAACACAATATAACTAGTCATTACAACCCACTATATATCTAGTCAGTATGCTACACAATATAACTAGTCATTACAACCCACTATATATCTAGTCATTACAACCCACAATATAACTAGTCCATATTCTAACACCATATAACTAGTCATTACAACCTCGAATATAATGAGTCATTACAACCCACTATGTATCTAGTCCATATACTAACACCATATAACTAGTCATTACAACCGCGAATATAATGAGTCATTACAACCCACTATATATCTAGTCCATATACTAACACCATATAACTAGTCATTACAACCAACAATATAATGAGTCATTACAACCCACTATATATCTAGTCAGTATACTAACACAATATAATTAGTCATTACAACCCACTATATCTAGTCAGTATGCTAACACAATATAACTCGTCATTACAACCCACAATATAACTAGTCCTTACAACCCATTACATATCTAGTCAATACAACCCTCTATATATCTAGTCATTACAACCCACAATATAATGAGTCATTACAACCCACTATATACCTAGTCCATATACTAACACCATATAACTAGTCATTACAACTGCGAATATAATGAGTCATTACAACCCACTATGTATCTAGTCCATATACTAACACCATATAACTAGTCATTACAACTGCGAATATAATGAGTCATTACAACCCACTAGATATGTGATCCATATACTAACACCATATAACTAGTTATTACAACCAACAATATAATGAGTCATTACAACCCACTAGATATGTGATCCATATACTAACACCATATAACTAGTCATTACAACTGCGAATATAATGAGTCATTACAACCCACTATGTATCTAGTCCATATACTAACACCATACAACTAGTCATTACAACCAACAATATAATGACTCATTACAACCCACTATATATCTAGTCCATATACTAACACCATATACCTAGTCATTACAACCGCGAATATAATGAGTCATTACAACCCACTAGATATGTGATCCATATACTAACACCATATAACTAGTCATTACAACCAACAATATAATGACTCATTACAACCCACTATATATCTAGTCCATATACTAACACTATATAACTAGTCATTACAACCAACAATATAATGACTCATTACAACCCACTATATATCTAGTCAATGTACACCTCAGTAATGGGTATATCTAGCCACTATATACCTCAGTCAATCTAGTCCCTGTACACCGCAGTATATCTAGCCATTATAAATCTACAGTGTATCTGGTCACTTACCCTACACTATATTTAGTATGCAGTTTATTACTTTAGTATATCTAATTACTAGAAGTTTACAGTGTATATTGAGTCACTTTACCCCTCAGTAGTTCTTGTCAGTATAAATATAAAGTATACAGAGTCACTATAAAACTAAGTATATCTTCTCGCTTTAAATAGTTCAGTATATCTAGTCTTAATACCCACAGCATACCAACTCACTATAGAATCGCTGCATGTGTAATAGGACGAGGAATAGTGATAAAGACAATGCCGTCGCTGGGGCTCGAACCCTAGACCCTTGGCTCTCCAGCTGATGCTCTACCGCTAAGCTAAAGGGAAATTCCCTACAACTGACGCTTGTAAGGCAACCTAATCAATGCACATCTTTTACACATGTATATCTAGTTTCAAAAATGGTATCATTTACATTGCTGTCAGT